CTGACAGGAGCAGTGAACTTCCGGAGCCCGTGGTCTGAGAGGCAGTTATCAGCTAGAGACAGCTGGACGAGGCTGGAGGAACAGACATCACAGCCACCTTTTAGACAAACACCGGCAGAAACGCTGCAACTTCAATCGTCCAGAAGAGTAAACAGGCTAAAAAGATACACGGGTCAGCACCTCCTCGAACCTTCCTCGAACCTTCCTCAAGACCCCTACAAAATGTTCTTCAGAATGTGAAGGGTTTGCCGCCGGTCTGGATCACAACCCGTCCGAAAACGAACTTCTGTTCCACACCTGCACAGAGACTCGGAGGTGACGTGCTCCAGCAGCTCATGGTCATCTCCCAGCCTGCAGCCGGAGAGGTCGAGACTTCTTAGATAGCGGAACACTTTGATCTCTTCCAGCTTTTCAGACACAAGGAGAAACCTGCATAAGCAGGAACAAACAGTCGCTGAGGTGATCTTGTGGAAAGCCCCAATGGAAAGTTTTTCCACTGAACAATTAAGAGGAAACGCTTTTTTTAAATAAGAATGACCTAAGACCATACAATAACGTGCATGTCTTGCTTCAGGTTAAACCATGTGGGTTACAGACTTAAATGGCATTGATACTTACCTGTTCCTTAAACAGAGGGACCCCAGCACTAGGTTTCCATAGGCAGTACTGAATGTCTGCAATGCTCTGAGCCCAATATCTGGGTCTAAAAACTTCTGCTTCTCTTCTGCTGCGGTGAAGAGTTTTTCGGCCATCTGATCTGGAAACCCGACAAGGGATTCCAGGTGCTGGACATTTTCTGCAACAAATATTAACACGATGTCGAACAGCGACTTGGCGGAGTATCGGAGATTGCCCTCCTTGGTGTATGTGAAAATGAAGTGGTCCTTTTTTCGGGTGTTGGTAGGCTTTGCTGCTCCATCTTCAATACAGAGCTGCACGGAGAAGCCCTTCTGAAATAGTCTGAAGGGCTTTATCTGGGATGGGCTTAGCTTCCTAGTATGCACTGTTCCATTCACACAGCGCAGTTCTCCTTTTTCCCGAACATATACAGGCCCGAATTCATCACAGCTCAGGTAAGAAGACATCCCTCTGGCCTCCTATGAACCAACCAGAAAACGGGAGACCGCTTTTACTGCATGCTATCAATCATTAGGATTGGACGCTACCTTCTTAAAGATGGGAACAATTAAAAAACAGGATGAATTTAACAAGTTCTAATTTATCAATTGTCCAATCAACAGTTTACAAGGCAATTCCACTTAAGAGCGTTGTTCTAAATGATTGTGTTATTAAAATGACCTTAATCGTACAGAAACTTTTGCACTCCATTGAATATAACCTTAGGATGTAACATTGGCTTTTTATAATATGCTCGTATATGGTCTCAGACGAAGTATAAATATAGAACAAACCTAGGTTTCATCGATTAGAGGAAGCATGAAATGTCAAGAAACGAGCTAAAACGTTAGATAGAAAGGCATATGTTATCAGGACCGTGGGAACATTCTCCGTTTAGGTAAACGGATCAAATGTGAGCTGAAAAACAGATGAAGACACCTCTTGTGTCACGGACGTTAGTGTGAAAATCCGCTTTAAAATTATGAATTTTGTTTGACCACTGTTCGAATCATTCTATTCTATGAGCAAAGAAAGTTGTTTCACAATAGTACCGAAGTTTACTTTTTAATAAAATGATATGCTTTTGTAAGTAATAGAATTGATTATCGGAGACAATTAACCACTTGAGGGTTTTACATGAACTATTCTCTAAAACAGGAAATATAAACATTTCTCAACTTGAAACCGACCTTAACTTCGCTGTTACCATTTCTCGCCGGTCTGTCCAGCAGCGTTTGTTACCTCCATTAAGTTCCGTAAAGAAACAAAGACAGCGTCTGTGTTACCGGATTCAGATTTTTTTTTAAATCGTTCAACCCATAAACCTTTAAACATGGTGATAGCTATTTAAATGTGTGTTGAAGTTTATGAGAGAATGGGTTTGGGATTCTTATTTTAGTTTATTTATTTTTTTCATTTTAAAAGGATCAAATATAAATATCGATCATATCCGATTATCATATCTAAATGTTTTTTCTTCGCTGTACTATACTTCAAGGTTTGCAGCATTTATCAAGTACTCAGATGTTTCTATGAAAAACAAAGTTTGTAACGATCGGTTCGGAGATATTTTGCTGTTACACACAGACCAATGGATGTTGTTTAGCAAAGATGGATGGTGATTCTCTCTTCATAGGCCAGTATGTAACATTTTTTTGTTCTTTAAGTAATAGCTACAATTTTATATTCCTAGGTATTTATTTCCATTTCATTTTATATGTTGGATTTAATAGGCACAAATACAATACTAATACTGATCTGCTAGTTTACAAATTGCACGCACCGTCTGGAAACGATTTAAGCAGACGGGAATTTCCATTGCCAGCTACAGACACTTGCGACATAAATTGCTTATGCCTGAGCAATTTTATGCCTTACATTATGATATTGATCACCGATGTTTTAAAATGTCCACGGATGTTGCATTTTAAGACTAAGTTCTTCGGTCTTAATTTCCATTGTGTGAAAGTATCAGTATGATTACGATTGACTTCTTGCAATGTCTTTCAAGTGTACATCTTGAACAGTTTAAAGATGTGACAAAATATTAACCGGTTTATTTTTTAATGTATTGACATCTCTTCTAAATCTCCTCTTGGCTTTACTGCCCAACAACGAAAATTATTTCAGAAGCCTAGTTTATGACACTACAGCACTGGAAAGGTTGGGGATTATTTTTGCTGTCTTGCCAGCACAAATTGCAGATGTTTGTTCGTATTGTAGGACAAAAAGGACAATGAGGGTCAAATTCTTTTTGTACAGAGAGTAGGTTTGATAATGAATAACCATTTGTTGTGTTATATGTATCCACATTTGAATTGATCTACAAAATGTACCTGAACATCCTATAAAAACTCATTTATCTAAAAGTTTTGACAGAAAAATTCTAAAATAGCAATCCCTCATCCAGTTTGGATGGGACCACTTTCACAGGTAATAGTCAACACTAATGGATGCCACATATGAACCTGGTAATAGGAATAATATGGAACTCGTATATATACCATTAATGTTTGTATTATAAAACATAAATACAGTAACTGTCACTATTTGTGGTAAGTCTATATATAGAAATTGTGTACAATTAAACTTCACAAAACAAATATTGGTGTCTTGGTCATGTAAAATTCCAATAAATGTCGACATCAATGGAGTATTTTGTTTTCCCCTCATGTTTTTATTGTGTTGTAAAGCTTTATGTACACTTAAAGAATTAGCTACTTCTATCAGCTATTTCTGCAGTTTTTCTTTACACATTAAATAACCTTATAAATTACAAAGTGAGAACTGCATAATTATACCTATTGTTCCTTCAGGATCCAACTTGTCTTAACATGACTTTTGTAACTAATATATATTAGTATTTCTTGGTTATTCATTGCATTTCAAATAGTGAAATACAGTTTTTTTTTAAATGTAAACACAAAGTGTGGAGATAGTCTTTTAAAACCCAACATTAAATACTGAAAAGAAACATGGAAAAGTGTGATCCTAAATTCAACATCTTGTATCTTTTTATACATAATTAACTTCTAGAATTTAGTAACTGAAGTTCAGAGTTTATGAAGTTTTCAATTTTGTGTCAAAATGGGTGCAACATTTGGGATAAGTTTACAAAACCCCAGAAGCAATTGGAAAACAAGGAACAACCATTGGGTAAAGTGTCAAACTTTATTTTATAACAAAAAAACAATGAAAAGCAAAACATAGCTAGAAATGACATTTATTGAAACAATGCATATAAAAGAAAATGAAAACATTTGTGCAAGTCACAGGGCAATAGTCAAAAATAGTATCCAAATGACCCATGCTCTTCCATTGTCTTGTCATTTTCCGTTTTCAGCCTTCAGGTTACAACACTCCGAGGATTTTAGCTGTAACCATCACATATAAAACCAGAAAAGAACACAACACAACAAGGAGCATTGGCATCCAGTACAACAATAGAAAACATTTAAAAAAAACCATATTAGAAGCAGATTCACAAAGCAATATCCCAAAACCACTCAACAAAATCTCATCTTTGGTTTGTAGGAGTATGGAGAAAATTACCCAGCCATGACATTGTTGACCAGTATTGCTACCTCATGTCATTTTAACAGCTCAAACACTCATAATCTTTCCTTACTCCACCACAGTGTCTGAAAGGCACCTTGCAATGAAAAAATATGGTAGAAGTTTTTATTTGCATAGCATTCACTTTGAGTACTTGGACCTTAAACCCAGTAATGAATGCTCATAATTACTGTAAACCCCTGCCCCAGTACATCTATTTAGCTCATGTGGGGTGTAGTTGGTATGCAGTGGATCTGAAGCATAGTACAGGACACAGGAAAGCATACCAATAGGTTAACAGGGAGGCTGCTTACACAATACAAAATATATTTTAAGCGAAGTTGAAGTTCTTCTTCTTAAGATGTTATTCATAATCCTCCAAATCTGGCCAGGTCTTCTCAGTTGGCAACCAGCTGGATCTCGGTTGCATCCCCGACTTAACTCATTCCACATTTAAAGTCCTAATTAATTGGCCCTCAAGAAGCCTCCTGGTGTGCTGATTAAATCCCCACTCTGGGCTTGCACAATCTGGGCTGCTAGCTCCCACTGGCTACCATGTGTTACACACATGGATATTTCACCTAAATGGGCACTGAAATGGGCCCCTTCTCATGTGCAAAGCACTGTGGGATTCTCTGTGATGAAAAAAGTTTAACAAGTATTACTGTGGAAAGAAACATACGTCCATTTATTTTTTTTCCTCTATCTCCCCATGCTTAAATGTGTATTTACATTTTTCTGTGCATTTTAATTAGAGCCGTCCTTTAATATTAAATAGGACTGCTTGCATAGTCTAGGCACCATGTCATTCATTATTAAGGCAGGTATGACCAGTGTCTGTGCTTATCTGATCTGTATTTTGGGCAATCAGGTTACAGCGACTGAAGGTTTTCTACTGCTGCCATCAAGCACAAAGCACAGAAAACAGAAAAACGTGTCAGAATGCTTCCCTTTTATTAGCTGCCCCACACCACCCTTGGAATACATTTCCTTCATCTCCGAGACTCTGTGACTATCAACATGTTGAAATTGTGATAAAATGTTAAAATGTGTAAGGATCATTGTAGTGAGATTTCAAGTGTATTCAGTTATGTGTTTGCTGTTATTACAACAAGTTACTTTGCTATTTTTTTTATTGCACATGACTCTTGCATTTTCTTTAAAAAGCCCTTATCAAAACAACGCACCACTATTCCACCATGTGGAAGTGCATTCAAAACCGAGTGCAGGAGGCACCTCCTAACCCAGAGCGCTCTGGGAGTATGGAACAAGCTACACAGCCATCAGAAGCCGACACCCTGACGTCCGTCACGAAACTGAGATCCTTGAGTTCATTAGGTCTGAATTAGCCAGCGGGGTATTTGGACCGAATTGCCTCCTCTTGTTTTTAACCCATCTTGTGTTTCTTTTGAGCAAACAAGGCACAATAAATAGAAGAAAACAAGATTCTCCTAGTTCAGCTTTTGCAGAACGTCACGCACCTCTCCTGGATTGTATCCCCAGGGACCCATTTTACCCTGTCACAACGACAAAAGAAAAACAGTTGGGAGCAGGAACGGGAAAAAGGTTTGTATTTAGTATTAAATATTGTACACATTTTAAATTGGTTCAGGTGGGTAGCTGCGACAGCATGTGCAGACTGCAAAGGAACAAGTAATCGGTTTATTCCGTGCTGAAAAGAGATGGAGCTGTGGAGCCTTCTTCAGGTTCCCCAGCCGAAACGTTGTCTTCTTTCTTCTCTTTTCAGCATGGAATAAACCCATTTTAAATAGCTTACTTAGAGGGTTTCACAAAGCTAGACACGGGGCAGGACTGCGTCCTGCAACCTGCGTGCTGAATGGAAACAGAAAGGCGCGTATACTGGAACAATGTGAGACGCCTAATCCAAGATATTGACTCGGATATGTTGCTTCTGGACTGCGGAAGGAAACTGGAGCACCCAGGAATGAGCAATGCTGACGCGTGTGAACGTGCAAGCTCCACGCAGAAGGAGCTGCAGGCCGGAATCGAACACGGGACCCCGAGGCCTGCGAGCCAGCTGCACACAGCTCCAGGCCTGTCGTCCAACTTCTAAGAACAGTCTATTCGGGGTCAAAATGAACCGCGTTCAACTGGCGAGTTAGATCACTGTCCCAGGATCTTTTACAGGGCAATAAAGCGCCGGCTGCTTGAAAATCAGCGGCCATGAAATTGAGGCAATAAAATCTCAGTCCTGACGGGTCCGAGCCGGTGGCAGTCTTGATCGCGTGCGAAGGTACTTGCATTTCAGGTCGCGCAACAACTGTTGCACAACCGCACCCCGTCCTCACCCCTCGGCGAAGCTGCAAGCAGGCACATTTAACCGGTAGAGACGGTGAAACTTGCCTTGTATATGATTTTCCCGGACCGCAGCACGTAGAGCCTTTCGGGCAGAGCCCCGTAGCGCGACGCCGTCACGTCGCTCATGTCGTCCACGACGACGGGGCAGAGGGGACCCTCCTGCAGGAGCCTGCGGGCCGCCGCCAGGCGATCCTGCAGACTCCTGTGGGTTTTGATATCAATGTTGTTTTTAAAAGACCAGCCGTCTAAAACAACAACAACAACAACAACAAAACACTTCTAGGTATATAATTCACGCACGCTCATGACAGTTTAATGCAGAACAACGCTTCAATTCCTGGAGTTAAATTGATTGATTTGAACGGCCTTCATTTCTGAAGCCTGGTTTGCCTGCCGAACAGCGATCGGTTGGGCACGTCGTCGTCCCTGAAAAGGGCGATATATACTGTATATGGAGGTGTTAACCCCGGCGTCCTGGCCAAATTTCCCCCCTTGCATTTACCCATCGTGGCCTCCTAATAACCCCCATCTCTGAACTGGCTTCATCACTCTGCTCTCCTCCCCACTGAGAGCTGGTGTGCGGGGAGTGTACTGGTGCACTCTGGCTGCCATCTCATCATCCAGGTGGGGCCGCACACTGGTGCTGGAGGGGATCCCCATTACCTGTAAAGCGCTTTGAGTGGAGTGTCCAGAAAGGCGCTATAAAAACGTGAGGATTTCATTTTTATCGTAATGTTTATTATATATATATCGCCATAAATGTTATGAAATGTGTTGGAAGGATAGGAATTCAGCTAAAGGCCAGGTACTGCCATGGATTTTTGTTAATAATCGGATGAGCCAGAGTGCTCGTCTCGTACCTGTCGCATGCGCCTCGGCTATATAGATGATGAGGAAGTCTGTCACAGCGCTGAAGTCTCAGACAAGCTGCTTGAACTCCTCAAGTTTGAATAAAAACGGGGGTCAGGTACAACTTCCGAAGCTCAGCACCAGCGGTCTGTCGCCTGGGGAGAAAAGCGCCATAACATGCATGAACAGCTAGGTCAGAATATGTGAATGCACTGCAGCACAGCGTCGACGTTATCTCCGTTACCTCTCATAAAGCTACAAACGCTCGTCTTTTCCCTTTCCAAGGTCAGTACAGCGGTGTCCGGTGCAGGATGACCTACAAACGCTTCGTCCCTGAGACTTTTCCTGAGGAAAGCGAGCACGGCTTTAGGAAAAGCGAGCTGATAAAACGTAGGTCCCCAGTCTTCATATCTGAAGTTGGGGTTCTGGGTCATTGTGGACCTTTCGCCCAGCTTCAGCAAAATGGTCTTCGTCAGGGTCGGCGAGACTACGGAGAGGATTTTAAAAAACAGCGACTGCGCAAAAACCACGAAAACCAAAAATATGGAAAACAAATAAACCTTCAGCTTCTCCATGGCTGGATACCGCCTATGTGGGCGCATCACCTGGACAGCAGGGAGTTTCAGAGGAGGGCGCTTCCAAATTCACGTTGTTCTCCCGACTTTTGTCTTTTACCGTATGACATCGAAAACAAACGCAGACCTAGACGTGTACAATAGGAAAAAAAAGTGGGATTTTCGTGAGGGGCAAAAAAATATGTTCTCCCGACCCCCAGTCTTTTACCGTATAACATGAAATTCAAATGCATAACTAGACGTATAAACAGGACAAAAACAAATAGGTGTGATTTTCGTTATGGGCAAAAAAGGCAACCAAAGCCTTTTATCTTAAATCTTTGGGTTCTACAATTAGCAGTGCAACAGCAACAACAGCAGTGCATCTGAAATGAGTACTTTTACTCCTAATATTATTACTAATTAATAATCACACAATACCGTGAGGGGCAGAACCATCTCTAGTTGGTGTTCTGGTCTTTACAGTTTTGTAGTATGTGCTTAATTACCGTCACAACCTATGTATCCATTCGCTTTAAAGCGTGTGTGGAGCACGCATCTTGACGTGTTGCATCGTTTCTAGCAGTAAAGAATACTTCTTCCTTTACGGGACTGTTGGCGTGGGACGTCATCCACAGACCGATGACGCGTCAAAGGCGGAAGTCCATGCAGATTGCGGAGGTGTGTTGGTATGTTGATATGCGCGCTTCATACGAAGAA